CCTTGTCGCTTTTGCTGCTTCTGCTGCAGTGAACTGTTGCTCCTCTGTACCCTGCCTTGGGGACAGCTGATCATGGACTGAAGCCTGTTGATGAAACATTGACATCAACACCAAGCTGGTCCTCAGCACTCTGTAACAGCTTTCTCACCTTTCAGTTTCTTTTCCACTTTGTAAGTTACTGGTTTTCTGCAAAAGTTTCTTCAGGTTTTAACAGTCTCAGCTTGGAAAAGAAGATCGAATGGAACTCAAGGGTAGTCTCTTCATGCCATTCTCTGGTGGTTGGGATTTTGGGCCTATATATTTTCCTCTTTGATGAGGCTACGAGAGCTGACCCACTTTGGGGCGATTCATCATTTGTGAAACTAAATATTGCTACTGCTTTAGGCTACCTCATTTCTGATTTGTTGATTCTCATTTTCTATTGGAAAGTGATTGGTGACAAATTTTTCATAATTCATTATTGTGCAGTGCTGCATGCATACTGCTTTATACTGAAATATCAAGTGCTGAGGTACATTGCAAATTTTCGACTGCTTGCAGAGCTTTCCAGCCCTTTTGTGAATCAGCAGTGGTTCTTTGAAGCTCTGAAGTATCCAAAGTTTTCCAAAGCTAATGTCATCAATTCAACTCTCACGACAGTGGCGTTCTTCATTGTGCGGACTGCTGTAATACCTCCTTTCTACAGCTTCTTGTATTCCGTGTATGGAACAGAACCCTGCATCAGGCTGGGATTTGTAATCCAGTGTTCCTGGATCTCTACTTGTATTGTTTTGAATGTGATGAATGTCATGGGGATGATCAAAATCTCTAAAGGATGCATCAAAGTCATTTCTCTCATCAGAAAAGAGAAAGCCAGTAACAGTCTTCAGAATGGAAAACTTGATCAAAGGTGTGGTTTGTCAAACACCTTTGACTAGATAAGCAATCTTCATTTCAACCCAGCATTATATCTACTAATAGGATGAATTGGCATGTTCTTGTGCTTGCTATTCAGGGTTTTGGTGTCATATTTTCTTCTTTTTAGAAGAAACTAAAATTTAGTCTTTATTCCAAGATTTTCTCTTTTCTTCTGCATTATAAGCACGGATAAAATCTTAAAGTTTAAAATAAAAATTATACATATAGTGGTGAATCTTTTCAGAAATCTCATAGTCTGCATTAGTATTTTTCTCTGTGGAAAGAAGACTGTGGTAATTTGGTGCACTTGGTGTGCTGCCACTTTTGTGGAAAAGATGGGAACTACTTTTAAATCTGTAAATAACTCTCAACTTTTTTGTATTGTCCTTTTTTTCTTATGTCAACACCTATGTAGGTTTTTATTTCCAAATTGTTGACATGATCTCTTCTCCAGGCTATTAAAAGTGACATTTTCTATTTTAGATATGCAGTCATCTACTAGTGATGAAGTATTTACTCACTTTGAGGATTTTTCATTAGTTTGATCATGGAATATACTTCCTGGATTTTAAGATTTTTTTTAGATGTCACTTATTTCTATTTTAGCATTTCATCACCTTATTTCTTTTTATTTTGTAGTAAGGCTTAAGGCAGATATTGTGGACCTTCTTCAAGGATGAGATTCTTCTAAGAATTCACATTGATAAATGGCTAGGCTAGTGATGATGAACCTTTTAGAGCTTTCAGTGATATAGCTACTGCAGCACGTGTGCCATAGGCTTACCGCTACTGGATTAAGCTAATACTGTTGATGAGATCTACAAGAAAAATCATTTTATAGGAAGAAAAGGGGCAAAGGGGAAGGAAGTGGGAGGGCTAGGGGAAAGGATAGAAGGGAATGGGATTAATATGAGAAAATGGAAAAATAGG